AAAAAAAGTTTCCACTTTAGGTGATGAGCTTCTGAACACTTCTAGGGGAGGGATCTCGCTTTACATCTGCTAATGAGAAAAGAAATCCCTGCATTGATTTCAAGAGATGCTGGGCTAGACTGTGGGATATTTATTTATTTATTTATTTATTTAATATTCTTTCGGTCTGACCTATTCTTCTGTAGTTAGCAACTTAAATAATGGTGGAATTGATAGTCACACTGCAATCAATGTGCAGGCCTTCTGCCACAGGTAATGCAAACAGATCTTTAATGGTGTTTCAGAGTTTCCTTGGAAAACATGCATTTTTAAAAGCACAGGTGAACCAGGAGCATTCAGGGCTGAAAAGCACTAAAGTGTGCAAATGACTCTGATGTCAGCCAAATGAACTGGATCATCTAATTATTTTCAATTACAATTACGAGCCTTTTTTTAAGGTTTTCCTGTGCTGGTATCTGTGTTGGTAATGTAGCTAGCTCTGGCTTTATGATCTGCATTGTTGCAACGTGCTGTGCTTAATTACTTTGCCTCTGCAGCAAACAGACATTCTGTACAATTTGACAATAATATGGAAGCAAGATAGGAAAATAGCTCAAGATAGTTTCATTTTAATTATGCTGATAGTGCACCCCATGGTTTTGAATCAATGCTGGAATAATGTTCTTTTGATAGTCTTCAATAACTTTAAACGAGACCTAATAAACTTGTATTTTCATGTGAAACGGAGAAGGAAAAATTCCTTGTTGTGATTTTCACTTAAAAATAAAATCAGCTCCCCAGGTTTTCGTATTCTAATTGGATGTCCACCYCCATTGAACAAATCACTTAAACAGCTTAATCACTATACCGAAAGGGATTACACTTCAAGCATATATTTAGTGTTTTCCTGAGTTATTTGGCTTCCTGTTGCAGAAAGTAGCTCTTCAGCATTTTTGAAACAGTTAAAGTTTGAAGATGCAAATTTAGAGCCCCTTCCTCRTGCATAATTGCAAAATTCTTTGCATGACTCTCTCTCTTTAATCTAATAAAGGGACAGTAAACAGAGAAGACTTTGCAAGCGGGAGGGAAGGCTGGTGTCATAAAATGAATGCCAAGCGGCTTTATTCTTTCAAATTAAATGAAGTTAGTCTTGGAATGGCTGCTACTGAGCCATGCTGACACTAACGTGCAAATTTGCTGTGCTGTGCTACATAGCCACAGGTGCATATTTGGCTCCTTAAATCTTCTTCACTAGTGTTACAGTAATATGACAAGCAGCAATAAAGCAGCCAATTTTCCAAGAAGATATTAGAGGCAAGCAGATCAGTTTATTAATACAATTTGCATAGAATTACCATATTTTTAAACTATGACTTTGACAGCTCTCCTAATGCAAACAAATATCTAAGGCACGTGGCATGTTTGAGAGCTACACCTGCAATTGTAAAAGCAAAACAAAATGGAAAAACAAAAAACAAACAAAGAACAACAACAACAACAAAAAAGCAGCAAAATGTTAACTCAGAGTTAGCTCAGAGAGTGTGTTGAGAAGGCTGTTTTAATCAATGGGAGATGTTTTGGGTGTTTAAGGAAATAGTTGGGCATGCTTGTGCTCTGYTTTGAATCAACTCGATTAGGTCCATGCTGAGTTACTAGTAAACTAAACTAAGGTTTGTTTTACACATTTTAAATTTTCAGTCTTTGCCGAGAAGTCTCTGAAAGTCTCTTATGTTTGCCCAAATTCAGCTTTGTAAAATGTATCTTTAAAAGTCTTAGTTGAGGATGAGTTCTTGGTAGTATTTGATGTGGGCAGGGATTTTATTGTTTATTGTTTCTTAAAGCTTCAATTTAAGTTTGCACTATAGTAGAAAACAAAGGCCCGACTAAACTCCCAGTGCCTAGGGGGATGGCAGTGCAATTTGCCAGCTCTGTGACTCCTGCATAGTGTCCCAAACATGATGATGATTCTTGCTGATCCACCCAGTGGTTTGAAATCAGTTCTCTGAAACACTTTGTAGCAACGTTAATGCTTAGATGGGYATAGCTTTTCCAATGGTTTTACGTTTCTATGTTATGCTAACCTTTGTATCACTTGTTATACACCTGAACATAGATCCCAGAAATTCAAACGATGTGTTGCGCTATTGTCCCTGGACTGACTTCTTCAATAATTCACTTAGCCTACAGGYCCTTTGAGAAAAATTTTGGAAGAAGGGGGAAAAAAAAATCTGCTTGATTTACAGTGATTAGAACAGCCTCTGCTGCAGTTTAGTCAAGTGCTCCTACTTTCTGTTCAGAAAGCTAGAAAGCTGTTTTCTGCTAAACAGCAGATATAGCTGTCAGTAGGGAAAATTATTTGATATTGCCCGAGTTTCTCAACCACAGCATAAGTGAAGTGCTTCCTGTAAAATGGAGCATTTATGGATAATATTTGTAGAGTAATTGCCATGTAATCACTGCTCCGCTGCCAGAGATTTCAGTCAGTTGTTATGAATCTTGCAGTGAAAATCCTATCGGGGATAGTGTGATGAAAATATCACAAATGTTTGGGAAAACKATGTGAGGTCAGTTGGTTAGATTTGACTTGGTGGGGGAGTATTCAATGTGCTGCACTTGGAATGAAGACTCTCCCAATATTAAATCTGAAAAGTGGGAAACTTCTCGGGTGGCAAATTACTTGGAATTTGAAATTTCACTGTCTAATTGTCAGTAGCTAAAAAGAAACAAAAAGCCATTGTTCTTTGAGCTGTTCTGTGTGTAATGGTCTCTTGATAAGGGAACAGGAAATCCAAGTAGAAAATGCTGTTCAATGCTTCTTGCTACATGGTATTTGTTGACAAATATTCTTGTTCTTTTCTGGGGGGGAAAAAAGTCTTTTCCACTTTTACTCAGCTTCCAGCTGGTAAAAGCAACAGAATTTTTCCTCAATATTTTTTGTTTAATATTTGACAAATCTAGTATCTGATATCTAATCTAATCCAGCGTCTGACATCTTTTGCTCTTCTCATCTTTAAACAATGATTGATTGTATTTGATTTTAGTTCTGAGAGCTCATTGCTTTCTTCAGCCTAATGATAAATATTTGTTCTCTGCTATGCATGATCCATTGCCTTCCCTGCAGAATACTCTTCATCATGATCTTTTGCATACTTAACCTAACTTTTTCGGCCACCTTCACTTGAAGGAATTGAAGAGCGGGATCTACCCTGTGCTGCGTCTGTGACTTTCAGCAGTTGGGCAGGGGGTGGTTCCCTGCTGTTCTGCAAGCTGTGCGCTTTCCTGAGCCTCTTGTGCTGAATCACCAAAAGCAGGAGCTCATCATGTAGCTTTTGCTGTCTACCTTACTGGGCTACAGGGTAGCTAGTCAGTGCTTTACTTTCTAAACTGAGCTGTCAAAATAGCAAGGTGGTTGTTTCTTATTAAGGTTTTGGAAATGCTCAGCTGTATTTGAAGAAGTTTTGCAAGTTAGCCACAACTTCCTCTGACCTTTAATTTAATTTATTTGGTTTTCTTTCACTGAGGTAGCGAGTTCTCAAAGTCAGCAAAAGAAGTGTTCTTACAGAGCTGTAAGAGGAGCTTAGGCAGAAGAACTTCAGTGAAGTTAATACAGCCATGCAGTGGAGGCTGCCTCGTGTGAAGTGAATTAGGGTGTTGGGACAAGTTTCTGTGACAAGACATCTCTGTTATCAGTATGCTGGTACCAGCTCTGTCTTGTGTTCTTTCTACCACAGTTTGGTCAGATCTGAGCTTATAGGAGTTCYTCTTGCATAGGTTTAAACATCCTCTTAGAAACTCTGTGCATGCTGTATGAATAGTCAAACTCTAAAGGAACCAGTCCTTTCCTAGGAATGGGCTGCAGACCTGCTGATGCAATGATTTTGGTGGCACCTGACCATGTGAGCAGGCATCTTCTGCCCTTCTGTTTTGGGAAGAGGTTTGTTAGTCTTCCAGAAGTCCTGGATTTTTGGGAATCTTGAAAGTATGTGAAATGGACCATGCACTTATGCAGAATAACTCTACTGTGAATGCACATGGAATCCTACGCACCTAGGATGTGTTGGGCTGACAGATGTGCTGGTGTGGAGGTATCCTGGGAGAAGACTTTTGGATCTATTACTTTTTCAGACCTGCCAATATTTGCAAATCTTGAAGCTGCATTTTAAGTACTCAGTGATCCAATCTCCTAGGTTGTCTACACACAGCCACAATGCAGTATTGAATGCTGATCTTGTGTACTAYCGAACTACTCTGCTTTTTTTTTTTTTTTTTTCCTAGGTATTCCCTCTTTCTTTTCTCTTGAGGTTCTTGTCTTTTGAAAAAGAGYCTTTGGAGGGTCTTGTTCTTATTAGAATCAATAGCTCTGTTGTAAGCTTGTGTCCCTAACCATGATGGAGTTCCAGTGGGGATTACTTCTATTGTATTTTGCGGGGGGCTGCTTAATATTTTCTTTTTTTCCTTCTCTGATCTGTTTTTTTATCCACACTTCAGCAATGTTATTTCTGTTCTTTCTGCAGAACACAGAGTTCTCTTCTGAAATTTATGTATTTTATGCTCCACTGAGGTAAGGAATAGTTTTCCTCTTGTAGCCTAGCAGGGATCTATACAAACATCTTTTCTCTTGCAGTTGGGGGAATCTAATAACTTAAGCACTTCATTAACAGACTACCACAGTTGCTGCTGTTTCCTGTTGACAGAAGGTGAACTAGAATAAGTATTAAGCATTTGTTTCATCCTTTTCTTTCAGTGCTTTCAGAGAAACACGGCCATATTCAGCTTTTTCCAGTGTTGTGCTAGAAAGGTTAGCAGTTTTATTTAAAAGAGGAATGTACTTTTACATTCAGTGGTTGCAGAATTCAGTGAGATAAATTGTATAACATGAACTTGCAGAAATCAATTCTGTGGTTGAAGAAGAATCGATGACCCTAAACAGAACTAAAAATAAGAGCAATGCTCTTTCAAATGTTTGCCCTGACACTCTGGAGTAGCTGTGAAGGCAGAGGAAGTTGGTTGCTGTTTGCTGATGCCACCATGTGATCTTGAGTCTGTCTTTTGTCTACAGGTGAGGATTCTTGTAGTTCTACATAAAATCAGAAGCATTTCACCTAAACTGTTGAAGATGATCCAGAAAAATATAATAACCCATAACTGTTTAGTGCTGGAGTGTGCGTTACCGGATCCAAGCATATTTGTGAGATTTATTGGAAGCAAATTAGCTTAAATTTAATTGTAATTTATTGATTTATCACGTTCAGATGTTAACAAGGTTTCTCTTCCATTCAGACTCCCTGCTCTTGGGAAAATAATGAAATTGCCTGAAGATACAGGCTATTCAATTAAAATCAACAGATGAGTCAAATATATTGAAGTTGACTTTCAGTACTCTATCTTTTTTTTGGGCATTTTATTATCTTGAACGTTTGATTGTGTGTGTGTGTGTGAGAGAGAGAAGATTGCTTTTAAAACACATGGCATCTATCGGTAATTTGTTTCTGTATATATGAGTCTCATGCCTTGTGATAGGAGTGCACCCTGAAGACAATATTAYGTCCACCAGACTGACAGTTCAGGATTGATCAGATAAGTGTAGTGGAGAGAGAGGTGGATATAATAGAAACTAAGGTAGAAAGGCAAGAGTCAGAAGGCAGCAGGAATATTTTTGTACTTAGAAACTTCATAAGCAGTTTCTTCCTAGTACAGTAGATACAACTAAAACATTTCTCCCACTTCTTGTTTAATTTCTGTTGTAATATGAATGTGTATAAAATACCTGARGTGCCCTGAGCTGCAGGGTGCCTGAGGGCTGGATCACAGATGCCTGCCAGTTCTCTCTGCAAAGCCTTCCCTAGTGCTTAGCACAATGCTGCCATGCTCCTGCAGACTAATTTACACTAATTGGAAACTCTTTTCAGTACCAACCTACATATTTGCACAAAAATAGAAGAAACTTAATATTTATGAGATTCCTGAACCTCTGCAAAATTTGGGTGACACTGGCCAAAGGGCAAATGGCTCATTATGAAAGATGTCACAGATTTCTGTAGGGGAGGACTGAAATCTCTTTTTAATTCTTTTTTCTTGTGCTGAACTCTTATTCTGCCCCTGAAGTGTTCTGTCACTTTGTTCTGATCTGCTCCACTACAACAGAAACAATTCCTGTAAGAACAGTGCCCACCAGACAATCTTTGTTTACACCTTCTCAGCCCTTAGTACATACCTAGTACCTAGCAATACAGTTAATTTCTTGAGCAAGGGAAGCATTTATTTCAGATCCTTTCCCTGTCTATTCCAGTTGAATTAACCATCACCAAGGGACTTCATCCAATCCAAACAGTTAGCGTGTTCTTGTCAGATAGCTCAGCTCTGCTAGGTATTCCTTTCAGTACGAGAAGAAATGCCCTGGGGGGTCTGAGTTTGCAGTGGTSTAAGTTCTGCAAACACTGCAACAAGATTTAAGTTATCATGGTATCTGCAGGCAGGGCAAGTACGTCACTGAGTCTGTTTTGCTGCTCATTCTTGGTTGAAGTAAGTYTATCTGGGGACTTGGTCTTGAAGGGTACAAGAAAAGTCAAGGTATGTAATACCTGCTTTGCATTGGTCTGTGCTGGTAAGATTTCTTTTACCTGCTCAGTGACTCCTCCAATGAGAAATCTATTTTTTTTTCTCCCTTAGCTGTGAAATAGGAATGACTGTTTGTTCAGCCAAGAGTCCAGCAAAGTGGTTCTGCAGGCCAGCTCTGAAGAGTGATGTTTTTGACCTTTTGCAGAAAGGTATAGTGAAATTGCCAATAACTGCAACCTCTTTGTTTTCCTCTGTAGCAAAGGCAGCAAAAAGGRTTCTTTGTTAATGCATCAAATTGATTTTCAGCAGATTTTTAGGTTCAAAATTTAGGTTACTAGTGGATTGTTAGGCTCAAAAATACACCACTCTGGGGTACAAAAAAAGCTATGAGATGGCTAAGAAGGAAACTGTCTCAAGCCAGATCAGACTGCAATGGTTAGTGCTTTATTATTTTTTCTTTCCAAGCTGAAAAATACTTCAAGGGCCAAACATATTTAAAGTCAGGTCTCCAAAGGGTATAGTTTTTAAGGAAATCTTTGGACCAAGGTGATTTCAGGGGCCTGTGCAAACGCAGCATCCTGCTTGGATGACAGAGCTTCTCAGCACTGCGTAACCATCTACTAACAGTGAATTAACTGGGGCTGCTAAACTACCATCACTTGTAACTTAATTTCAGTACATGATCCCTCTCAATTGCTCTGTATGATGCAGTTGCATCTACTTATGTAAAGCAAAAAGTTTGCCATTTTCAGCTTGAAATCTTTCCTGGTTCAAAATAGGATACATTCATCCTTGAAAGGCATCCAGAAGGACTTGGGAGGTCACAATAGGTGAAGACGAGTTTAGCTACAAGCATGGAGTCAACAGTGAGATCGGATARAAAGTACCCAAGCAAGTCACTCAAGGAGTAGGACTTGGCTGCTGCTCTGCTACTGTCAATGAAAGTGATCTGTCCTTTACATTCTGATCCATGAGGATGTTTGTGAAACTGTCATGTCATTGGAAGAGTTGATAATATTTGTATGACTTGAAAGATTTGGTAAAATTTGCCAGGAAAATAGCTATTTTGATTTTTTTTTTTTTTTTCCCTCCTCGTGTTCAGCTTTAGCAGCTCTGCTGTGTTTCAACAGGTGGATTTTGATAGATGTCCTGTACCCACATGTCTATGGACATTCCCTTCCAACACTAACTAATCATAGGCTACAAGGAAACATAATTTAATCAATACCTACAAGGATCAAAAGCTGAAATTTTTTTCCTCTTTGATTTCATTCCTGGGATGTCCACAGCAGTAGAACATTGTAGAAAAATCAGCATTCATGCTTTAGCCTCCAACAGTTACCCTGCGTGAGTACCATGAGTGCTGTTTCATCATCATGAAGACTAACCAAATGAAATAGAAAGGTCAAATACTAAAAAACAATTAAATGAGCATTTCCATCTACCGAAAAAAATCAATCAAGAATGAAATTTGGTTTTCCACTTCCAGTAACCTCAAAAGTATTAGAATAGGTATCTCTAAAGAGTTGAAAAGACAAGCTATCCTCCTCTCTCCCTGTCTCCCAGAAAAAGTCTCCGCTTTGGAGGCAATGGAGAAATGGTGGTTTTATTTCAGAAGTGCCAAGCACCAGCACCTTCCACTCAACTCAGGACAGACTTCCCCATGCCTTTGAACTGCAGGGCCACTAATGGGTTTTCACATCTCATATTTTGTAGACTTAAAGATTTCTATCATTCTGTGAGTCTGGCTGTACCTAGATGGGAAAAAGACCTTGTAGTCCCAGAATCTCTCTCCATCATTAAAGGGAATAATGACAACAAAGSTGGTTGCTTAGGAAGGGAATGTAGGTAGCAGGACATTCATAGAGTAATCCTTGTTCTCCCATTTTTGTCAACCCAAGCTTAGGTATTTGGATTGTTGGGGTTTATTAGTCCTGTTAGACCTCTCCTGTGTAAAGGCACATAAATCTCCTTGGAATCCTGTTTTCTTTTTTTATTTTTGCTTCACGCAGATCGTATGGATGAGTTGCACAATGGCATCATTCCCTGAGGGGAAGCTATTCTTCCTCTCGTTTTCTAAACCTTCTGCATGATGAGTTAGTTGGGTGTCCTATCATTCTTACGTTGTGAAAAAAAGATGAAACACGGGCTCTGATCCCCCTCATCCACCTGTCAGGATTTCTTATGCTCATCTGTATTCACTTTTTTTTYCCAAGCTGAAGAAAAGAGTTTCTTTTCACATGGAAATGGTTCCATATTTCCAGTTACCATTTTACCTTTCTGGATATGTTTCCTAAGTTTACTATGATTTTTTTTCAGATGACATACTTGCAGTGTAAACAGGTTTGTAGAGCGAGTCTGCCTTGTTTTTATGCAAAAGCATTAATGATGACTTTAAAAAAAAAAAAAACTTGTTCTAATAATTTCTGATATKCTTCTAGCTATTTTGTCTGAATCTAGCTGATTTTTGTGAAGAGCTAACCAGTGACTGCTCTCTCCTATGTCTGAATGGCAGAAGCTAATGCAGAGCCTATCAGAGTGTATGTATAGTACACATTATTTCCAGTGTGCATTGCTTTATTGATACTGCATTTCATCTACCATTTTATCATCTAGCTCTCTAGTACTGGAAATTCCTTTTGCAATAAGTCATGGTCTGTTTTGGATTTGATTATTCGGAATGATTTGGTATCACCTGCACACTTTGTCTTTTTTGATTCATTTCCTCTTCCAAATCGTTTATGAATAGAAGTGTATACTTTCAAGTCCTTAATGATACACCTTCAGAAATATTGATTTCTTCCACTGGAATTTTCCTTTTGAAAAAGCATTACAGAATTCAGTAAGAATTGCCAATTTCTATTTAAATTTATTTGAAATGCTCTTATATAGATTTAATGAAAACCTGAATTTCCATAAAATGCTTCTTACTCTGTTTTATGAAATCTGAAAAGTATTTTCAGTGGCCAAAATCATCAAGTCACTTCTAAGTTTCTGTGCTATAGTTTTTCTGATGGGTAAGAGCTGTATGTGTGTGAGAGGTTGATTCTGAATGAGTTAATTGATGAACAAAAGTGGCTAAATAAAAGTATACTGTTCCCCCCCACACTTTTTTTTTTCATTTTCACTACTGTGAAGGAAAACTGCTAGAAACTGAGAAACAAAAGATTTTTACCTCTATGTTTATTTTCTTTGGGTTTGAGAGACTTGGTTTTATTTCTTAGCATAGGCTTAAGCTCTGGCTCAATCAGTCAGCCTTCTGTCACTAAGCTTAGTAGGAACAAGCAGCCTAGTTTTGCTAGGCTTTTGAATTTTGCTGGAATATCCCCTTATCCTTTTTCAATTGCATAGTTTTGAGCACAATTCCAGCCTCCCAGGATCCCATGGATGGCTGCTCAGATCACAGGTTTTGCTGTGATTGCATTGGAATTGTTTGGTAAAATCTGATGGAGGCTCACATTTAGAAATTTTCTTATGGACAAAATAGTTCAGAATTTCTTTTGCTGTCATCTTGGTATAGCCAGGCTCTTCTGTGGGTCCAGCTGTTGTTTCTGTACCCTTGTTCCACCCAGAACTTCAGGTTTTGCACAGCTTGTCTTTCCTGTGTCTGAGAATCACCTTTTTGTCTCTTGAATTCCTTCTTCCCTCTGATGTGTTGTTGCTGATAAAATACACATTTCCTTCGTCAATGACYCTGGGAAGAAATTCTAGGTCCTGGTGTAATTCAGCCAGAAATTAGGGATGATCATAGTTAATGCCATCTCTCTCAAATGTGTGCCAAGGTCACCTGGCTGTAATAAGGCTGTTTGGACAAGATTAAACCATATTCAGTCACTAGTATAAAATATAGAGCATAGTTTGATGGAGACATTGCCCATTCTGATGAGGCACGTAGGTTTTGAATTTGGTTTCATGATTTACAGAGTTAGTTCAAAGGATTGGCATTCTGTGATTATTTAATAGATGCTATCGTGGTTAGAAGTAGCTTATTTAAGTCTTTATTTCACTGTTACTCAAATAGAAGACCGATGCTAATTATTATGCACATCTTACTACCTGAATAATCCAAATAAAATAGGAACCGGGCTCAAACAGTAACCTCACCTCTACTGAGGAGAATTTAGTTATTCAGAAATACTAGAACTAAAAAAAAAAAAATTAAACAGTAGCTATGAAACTCTGCATTTTAAAATGTGTAACAGTTAATAGGGTGATAGTTACTGCATATTATAGTGTGATAGATGCCGCTTAAGTCATAGCAGTCTTGCTGGGATTAGTTGCAATTTTTGCACTGATAGCTGGAATTTAACCCTTCACGTTTAACACTGTAGTTGTGCATTGCCATTAACCCCTTGACCCTATATCAACCGTGCATTAATGCTTTCCACGCCTCAGAACAGTTTTCATTGGAGTCATAGTTCCAAAGCAGCAAGCTTCAGGCCGAATCGGATTACCTTAAGCATACAAGTTCATCCATCAGAGCAGTAATTCCGGCATGGAGATTCTGCCTTGCCTCTAATCCTGTTTTCTGTGCTGTAAYTCAGCTAACTTTTTTGCAGTTATTTCTGATTTAGTTTATTGTGATATTGTGTTCTGTTTCTCTGTTCTGATTGCGGGCAGAGCTATTGTTTCTTATAGAAAATTTAACAAGGGACCTAGAGAAATAGACTCTATCTTTTATCTAGAAACTTGTAATTTTTTCCTGTGATGCTTTACCATTTTCAGCTGCACAGCTGTGTTGGCATCCAACTCCTGTGCAGTCCAAAGAGCATCAATACTTTGCAAAGGAAGTATCAGGGATGGTGACACTGCTGTTGGGCTTTGMGACCCATCCACAAAAGGCTGAGCTCTTGCAATGCAACAGTAAATATCTTTACATGTGTGCCAACCTATTRACGTGTCATTGGCCTTAAGACAAGGATATCAGCACCATCTAGTTAGCTAGGGAGTTTGCTGCAAAATTGTTTTAAGTGAAGGTGACATTTCTGGCATTAGTTATGACAGCTGACCTTTCTTTAGATCATTGCACTCCTAATGGATCCCTTAACATAGATGGCACTGACACATGACAGAAGTCCTTAGGCATTCAGGCACTTCACACAACTCCATTGGGTGTTACAGTCTACTGTCAACTGCACTCAAATTCTGCGAGTGCTGCTGGGGAATCAGGGCATTTCTGCAGGTGATGGCGAGAATGTCACCAACCAAGTAGTCTGCATGGTAGGGGTGGCTGGCAACTCTATCGAGTGCGCTCAGCCAGGGAAAACTGCCTGTCTGGACTGGAAGGGACAGATGTGTCAGAGCACAGTTATTCTTTCTGTATCTCGGCAATGCAGCCAACTTCTCCAGTTGTGCYGTGTTGTCCCTTTCAGACAGCCCCAGTACAGACACGAGTCTGAAGGATCAGAGTGTATGGCTTGACTCCTTACAGCTCGATAGTCATATGGCAAGTGTATAGCTGAATGGATGCTGGTGCATAGAGAGTAAGCTAGAAGATTGACTTTGGGCACTTGTGCTGCCTTCAGAGCCCACCTCTGAGCATTATTTGTATGAATGAAAGTTAGAACAGTTACGATGATGAAGACTTTGTTCTTGTGTGAAGCTGAGCGTTCTTGCAGAGCTACTTTTTGACTTACTTTTGCATGCATCTAATTCAGCAAGTTTCTGGCCTTGCCTTTGGAGGTTCTCCTTTAGTATATCCTGCTGGTCTAGTGCCCAGCAGGATGCGCCGATTTATTGGTGACTCTTTAGTAACGAGGAGTGTCTCTTTGTACAGAGACACTCTTTGTCTTTTTGCTTGAAAATATTCCCAAGCTCTGGAGTTATATTRCATCACATCAATCAGCACAATTAATCCACTTACTTTGGATTACACTGTAAATGGTGATTAGGGATAAGAGTGATGGGGAGCTTTATGTGGCACCTCAAGAAGCTTTGCATTCATTGACCACCTTGGTAAACATTTGCTATTAACAGGGCTGGGGATTGGCTTTCATTGAAGCAAATCGTTTGATAGCTATCAGAAAATCATTGTCTACTTCTGTGAAAACATGAATATTAAAGATCTGAAGATCCTCT